TTTTTTTAGTCAAATGCTCCTCTTCATGTTACAAAAAGACCGTGACAATACATTTTTTTTTAGTGAAGTTGAGTTTAAAAGTAGATTGAAATGGGTAAATATAAATATCTGATTGGATACAAAAAATGCTCATTAAGATTGAATGCAGAAGTGAAAATAATAGAGAGCGCTGTTAGTCCATCCCAATAACAGTAATTAAGCATATAATACCTTTATAACTCTGTTAATACCTCAATATTTGTCTAGCACCTTTTGGCACCTCAGCACTTTTTCGGCACCTCAGCGCTTTTTCGGCACCTCGGCACCTTCTCGGCACCAGAGAGCAATTTTGGTACTTGGTACCTGCGCTTTCCCCCTTGGTTATCACATCTATATGAAAGATTTTAAAACGTATACGTATTTTTGCTAGCATTATGAAAAAGAATTAATGCAGTAGATAAAATATCAAGCACAAATAAATCTATGACTCTCTGGTCGAGGTGACGGAGGGGGAGAGAAGGAAAAATATAAATATAATGGCTTTATCTTATTGCATATTAGATTAATCCATTCATAAATAAAAACTGAAAACATCATTTGTAAACTGTTTTATTCTTAATTTATAAAGTGGTAATTTTATTTTCGATAGATATGACTTAACATTTTTTAATGTCATCTAAATGCTAAGGAGAAACATATCTTTTTATTTTTAAAATATTTAGAGCGCTGCCATTTCAGTTAAAATATACGATTTTGCATTAGCAGCATTATTTTCTTCGTATCAATGTTTTAACTAAATTTTTAAATAAAATCGAGTAAGTATAGTGTCTACCAATGTTTAGCGAGACACAGAAAGGAAGATTTCGATTCTATCGTTCAATGGTTCAATTGATGGGGAAGTAACAGAATGTTTGCACACTCGAATCTAATCATCCTCCTAATATATTTAAAGGTAGACTAGTCCAGAGTCGACCAGCAGGTAAAACCACACTTTGTAGTGTGCAGCATCGCTGATGCTCTACCATATTTTATCTGAATTGTTTTTGATGGGCGTCAGGACGCCACAAATGTCTAGTCTTTTTCTAAAAAATGAATAGCCAAAACAGGAGACTAAAAGCCCAACAGCTGAACCGCCAGGACGCTCGCTACGGCTATACTGGATTTTAGACTAGTCCTATGCCTGGATTTTTTGAGAAAAAGACAGAACCGGATGTAGCTACATGACTAAACATATGACTTGTCTTTTTGCCCATCCTTTGTTCTCATGGGATATATATAAAATATCATCGATGTATTTTCGAGGGTTTTGGTGTGGGTCATACAATGGGGTATATGATTTCAATCTGAATTTACGTAAAAAAACAACGCATCATTTCAAAAAGAAATAGGGGACTAGGGGATCTTAAAATTCATTCAATTCAGTTGAATTCAAATGAATTTACGAAGATCCCTGAGTTTGCCAAAACTTGGGGTCTTTGTTTCCGATTTGAATTCAGTTTGGCATGGAATACCCTATAGATTCGTGTGGGTGGATGTTATTTTTCAAAAAAAATCCGGCAATAGAATAGTAAAAAGTTGAGATTTATATATGCGGCTTTTTAGAAATCAGAACGATCTATAATTCGTACACATTACATCGAAATCTTTGATACGCCCTAAAGACTTGCTTTTATTAGAATTTTGTAATTTACAACACCATTTTTTTATTAAAACTTATGATAAACAGTCAGAATCCTGACTGAATCATGCTCCTAATCATGTTAGATAACATTGAATCGCCAAAGAATAGATATGCGGGTTATTCAATCACAGATGACTACATCCTATATAAAACAGAGCAAATCACACTATAGCTCATTTCATTTGCTACTTACACAAAATTAACATGGATTAGAAATCGATTCAAAGACATTCTCCGTGCAATTGCGTATAAGTAAAGTTATAGAACTCTAGACTTTCTCGAACTTGAACGAGAAGTTGGATTTACATATACAAGTTAATATTCACACCTACACACTTAAGTATTAGATAAGACTTTTCAATATCTTTTTGAAATTCACTGAATGAAGCAACACTCAAAAGGCTTCTCACAAATTGCACGGAAGAAAAAAACCAAGGCTATATAATTCAGCAGTGGCCTCTCTAAGAGAAAAGGTCCTTTGGCTACAGTAACTCTCTCTACCAAATTACATGAATTAATGCCCACTTCCACGCTCTGACGATATTGCATGATAACTTTCAGATAACATCCCTTTTCGTAGAATTAAGAGACTAACAGTATACATTCGGTGATAAAAAATTTTCAGAGCTCTTTTTAAATTCACATCTGCTCTTTGCACACGTTTTCGAAGCATGCAGCTATAACATAGCTATGGCAGAACTCTAGAGACCTTACTGGATCAATAAACCTATTTGAAATATTTGAAATAATAATTCTTTAAGTTTTTTCCTGGAAAGACCTTACAGACCTTTTTGTAAATGACAGCGTATTTTAAATCATGTGTAAGTAGGCCTATGACAGTTGAAAACTGGGAGCTGTACTCGTATTACACAGTCAGTTCCTTTCGAAAGAACTGGCCATATATATCAGTTCTTGAGAAAAGAACGAGCCATTGGTCAATGAGGAAATAGCAGGGTCCATGAATCCATCTGACTTCACTTGACTCCATCTTCATGGAGTCTCTCATTTCCCTCTTGACAGTATGACTCATTACCCGAAGGTAGAATTCCCATAAAAAATATTACTCAGTACCCGAAAGTTGAATTCCCAAAGCTGAGCTATTTATTCTGTAATGATAATTCAACTTCCGGGTACTAAGTAATATTGTTTTGTTATGGAAATTGTTTTTGGACAATTTCCGACAAAGAAGGAGAGTAATAACTATTTTATGTAATGGTACATATGACAGAAAAAAGTAAAAACATATCAGTTTCCCATTTCTCTAATGGTTTTCTCGAGATCAGCAGTGATTTTGCGATACTTACGGTGACTCCAAGATACTCCGTGTGACTTATCGTGCTTAGGTATGATTCGCTGGGATCCTAGGTGATTCCGGTGATTTCACTTGACTCCGAGGAGTTGGAGTCTGGTGTTTCCCCCTTGTTATCGGTACCAGTTCTCGAAAAAGAACTGGTTTATGAACGCAGTTCATCAGAAAGAACCAGTTCGAAGAACTACTAGCTGTCGCAGGTTTATTTGTAAGCGGAGAACAGCGGAGTTTGTGCTCTTAGGATGCCAGTTCATACACTCTATGAAAAAAAGGTATTGCACGAAACTTATCAAGGATTTTCCGTCGGGCGCATGGGAAGATCCTCTGCAGGTTCCGGAAAAACACGGGTTTAGCACCGAACCATTTCGCAACCTATAAAAAAAATGTTTCGTATCAAAGGTTGCGTGCTATAACCTTTCGATCAACACACCAAAAAGTTCCGCAGATGAATTTCAGTAGAGAGCATTGTAAATTCCTATTTCCAGGAAATTCAAAATGCGCTACATACTACAATAAAGTAACACGTAGATAAAGAAGTGTATACAAACGATGGTTATTGTTTAGATTTCTATCAAGCCATATCACACACTTTAATATAATGTAAGAGTCATTTATATATCAGTATCAATTCTGTCTATATCCATATGAATATGTATAGGTTGTATACAGATTTGGTGGGTTGGGATGGGTTGGGATGGGATGGGTTGGGTTGGGTTGAGTTGGGTTGAGTTGGGACCAGTAATGATAAATACATCTAAATAAAATACATTTTGTAGATGTATATATGAACTATATACTTCTAGGTGCAACTGATTGAATTAGATTAAAAAGGATACCGTCGGATTTCATCGTAAGTCTGCCCCCCNCCCAAGATAGTCTCAAAATTATTATCAAGAGTCCAGGAAACTTTTTCGAAGGTTTTGTGGAAAACCTACGAAACCTAAAAAAGGTTCAGAATTCGTTTCAAATCTCGAAACCCTTTTTAAGCTTCGTAGTGTCTGCGAAACCATTTTAAAGTTCAGCGAGAAAATTCGAAACTTTCTTGGTTCCGTGTGGTGCTATTTTTTTCAGTGTAGGGTCAAGATAAACACCAACACAGAACAAAATGAATGACACTGATCATATACTTGATATTAAGCATCGAATTAGTAAATGGTGGAGTGGAATGGATAATGATAATTTATCTTTAGAAGAAGGTACGCATTACTCATTGAAGATCAACAAATCAATTAATAATTCATATACTTGTGTTTTATCATGCCAATGCGGTATTCGATTTAAATTACCATTTATAGAAGCTGGTTTTTTCAAATTATCATAATTTTATCGCCATTTAAAAGAGCAAAAATGTGTAAAACTACTGGATATAGTGAGTATTTCTCATGTTGACAATGACTTTTATAATTTATTAATATCTAGGCAAATGCAACGGACAACAACTCGACTAATACAGAAAATCAATTAAATTCTTCGTCGAAATCATCAAGTACAGAGTCGAAGAAGAACGATGCATCAGCACATATAACTATGAAACGACCTCGATCAGTATCAAGATTAGTATCTTCAAAGAGTAGGGAGATGAACGTAAAAAAGAATCGATTGTCTTCCTTGAATAATAGTAATGCAGTTCTGGACTAAAGAATTAGTTTTAAAATTATTGTATAAAGAAATTGCTGGAAGTTTTTTTATCTCAAACTTTTGAAATATCATTAAAAGCAGTTTGTATTATATTTTTTCTCATATGTAACGTTCATTATTATTATTTGTGTTCATAGTGCACTTTTTTTAGCTACAGAGTTTTTCCTATGATCATATTGATGCCATATTTAAATGCAAAGAAGTTGGATAATTGTTTTCTGTGTGAAACAAAACATTATACTTGTAACTGTTTTTAGCTAGAATAAAAACATATCGACTTGACATAAAATAGACTGATTCATTTCTTTTTTCCAGTATCGGTGTTTTAGTTATAGTTAAGCATACGATTAGCAATATCTTATAAGCAAGAATATTCATTTTTCAATATTTACAATGGATCTCTTTCAACTAAATGAATTAACAGATGATATGATGAACTTATGTAACAATGACTTCTACAATTTTCTTAAAAATTCATTAAATAAAGATTTATGTGAGCTATTTCGAGTGCAAGCCATTCGACATATGACTTCGTTGTCGTCAATAACAATCGATCAAATAATAGAAATACTTACTCTTGATATTGGTGATTTGAATAATTTGAAAAAATCACTTGGTTTTGTAACATCTGATGAAAAATTTCATGTTCGACTTGATCATCGAAATTTATTGGAACGCTTGCTACTATTAGTGAAATCAAAAACAAATTCGTCTATGAAAAACTCTGATCTTTCAAATCAGTATATGAAAGAACAAATTCATGAAAAATGTTTAGAAATGTGGAGGAAAACATCCAATTCATCGAACGTAACCTATATTCCAGTTTTGTTTTCATGGATCAATAGCATTTTTCAAAATTTACAAAAAACAAAAAATGAATATCGCTATGATAATCAGATGCAATAATTTGCTTGATTAATATTCATTTTGGGCGGTCGAAATTGTTACGAATTTCTTCGTCTTAATCTACCGTCAGCGTTACCTCATATAACTAATTTAGAATTGCTGATAAGAAATCAAGAATTCAAGGTGATCGAATGCGAGCTTCGGTTTAGTTTGTTAAAAGAATATTCACGATCAACCAGCTGTAATTATATTTTTGTTGCTGAAGATGCAACTCGTTCGATATCATGTATTGATTATGATGTACAATCTAATTCTTTTATTGGCTTCTCAGCACCATTAGTTAATGGAGTACCACAATCAAATTTTTTTCGCACAGAAAAGTTCAACGTATTAAAAGAGTGGTTTGATGAAGCAGACACATCAAAATTCATTAATCTTCATATGGCAAAATCTTTGAAATCATCTGCTCCTTCTTTCATTCTATGTGCTTATGGTTCTAACAACAAGTTCGAAGCTATAGATGTTTTAAGAAGATGGTTATATATTTATCATGAAAGCTTGATTCAAGGTTTAAGAGTAATAGGTTTTAGTACTGATGGTGACTCTCGTTATTTGAGAGCAATGAGACTATGTTCTCGTTTTTTTGTTGAATTGCCAAATTCAAATTTATTCAAGTACAATGATCAACTTGATATAAAAATACCGGATAAATGGTCTTGGTTTTTTATGAAGCAACAACAAATTTTTCTTTTCATGCAAGATCCGATACATATTGCAACAAAAATTCGCAACAGACTTCTTTCTAAATTAGCAAATTTGAAAATGGGAGATTTCTCGACTGGTATGAAATATCTTGCCGAATTAATTGAAACAAAAAGCAAAATCGAGCACAATTTAATTAAATCGGATCTTAGTCCCAAGGATCGACAAAGTTTCGCTTCATGTTTACGAATATCTTCTGAATTAGTATTAGATTTACTAAATAGAAATGAAAATGCAAAAGGTACATATGTATACTTAACTTTACTAAATTTGATTATATCCGGATTTATAAACAAATTAACTTCAATTGAAGATCGATTATATCACATATTGACCGTAGTCTTCGTATGCCGATTATGGTTCTCGTGGATACATTACTTTCATATAACAAAAAGCAATAAAAACACTAACAGTAATAATAATAATAATAATTCTCAAACACCAAAAAGGCCAAACAACTTTTATTACAAAACCAACATTCTGCCCAAGCAGACAAACTTTTTCAAAAACGCGTTTAAACACTCAATCGGGAACCGCGATCGTGGGTCATTAACGCTCATTAATGAAACGCAAAAAACACGTTTTTTACGCAGAATTCTCACTTTCCGAACGTGAAAACGAATAAAAACTCCAATTCCGAGCGTTTAATCGCACAATTATTCGATAAATTAAAAACCAATTCGTTTAAACNCCTCCTTTATTTTTTTCAGAGTACTCCCACACACCTTTCTAAAAATTCCTAAATGTTGGTCTGAAAACATGGGTCTCAAGCAGAAAAATTGTTATAACTTTCGTTAGGCTTTAGCTTCCCCGATATTTTTTTTATTTTAAAGGTCTGAATCTGAGCTAACTTTTCATCGACCGGATTTTCGATATTTCATTCCTGGACTGAGAAAAGTCTGATTTAGTGCGTTTTTTATACCTAATTTGGCTGTCATACGGAATAAAATACTGATAAAAAATAAATAGAAGGGAATTTCAAAATTCCGCCCGATAAAGCGTTGCGTATGGAGGCTAGCTTTAATTTGAAATCTACCCAACCTCGATAACTTACACAGTCAAGAAGTTATTTCGATTCTCGTGAAAGCTATAAAACAAGTCATAAGTCCAGTTTAGTAAGATATACATGGCTGAAATTTTTACCACAGGCGTTTCTCACTGCCACCATGTATTCCTGAATGTTTCAGCTGAAACCTATGCTCAAAACTGGCAAGTCGATTCTGAGGGGGAGGGGGCCTTAACTCAATCAAAAGTCGTGGTAGTCAAACGGGACAATATAGTTTTCAGTTTCTACAACATCATAAGAATGATAAAGAAGCAATATGATTATTCTATTAATAATATTAAAGAATTAAATCTAACAGAAAATGATATTGAAAAAATTATCAATCGTGCATTTGAATCAGCTAAACAATATGTTGCAATGGTTAATATGACACAACTGTTGAAAAATAAAGACATTTATTCATTACCTGAATTAAGTCAATTTATCAAAACAATTTTAAGTAAAGCATCTTCAAAAATGGTAGATTACAAGGAAGATGACGATTCAAATTACGATTCAGACGACGATGAATTCAAAGACAATGAAAATGGTTTAGCAACATTTGATGACGAAGATCAAATGTTATCCAGTACTTTTGATGAAGACGAGGAAAGAGAAGGCAATATAACAGCTAATGGCCTTTCTAATGAATCACAACAAAATTTCAAGGGCTGCCGAATATTCAATAAAATAAATCAACAACAAATAAACAAATATTTTCGTATTTCTGTTGATTCATCAGTGAAATACATTCATAAACATTCAGCCTGCTGGTTGTTGTCGACGAGCAAAAATCGCCTATCAAGTGATCGATTAGAATGTGTTAAAGAGTAACAACAAAAATTAGATCCTTTTTACTCGAAATAGCTTTTTTGTCTTTTTTTTTTCATTATTATGATATATTTTTGTTAATTATTGTTTGAAAACATAGATTTTCATAGTGAGTGTATTTGAAGCAAAACATCTTTACTATTGAAAATAAAGTTCGCTTTTGTGAATATTTGTTGTACAGTTAAACTAAGCCACCAAAAAGCTACTGAAAAAAGTGCTGTGGTGCCGAGAAGGTGCTGAGGTGCCGAAAAGGTGTCGAGGTGTCGAGAAAGTACTGAGGTGCTGAGGATTCCAAATCTGCACTTTCCCCCTTGGTGATAACTGTATTCTAAGACAACAGTAATTATGTAAAGTCCAAGAAAACTATTTTGGATTTGATAAATTGAAACAAGTATCTGCTGCTTTGATTTTTGTAAAAAATTAATGAATGTAAAAAGTATGTAGTAAAACTAGAAAAAAAATAATGTCCATTTTAGATTTAAAAAAGGGTGATTATTTTTTAAACAACTTTCGCACAGTGATAACTATCGATCTGAGGTTTTCACCATTGGACAGAAAGGTTGAGGCTAGATTTCGCTGCAAAAATTTGATTTGTTCACACTGGACCAATCCAATGAAATCCCAATGAACGTTTTGCAAACAATATTTTGAACGCAATTCCGATGTTATTCTGGATTCTGCTGCAACAATTTGGTAGAAAAAGGTGTTCTCTTTCGATCTAGACAAGGCCCAACTGTCTATTACATTTACTTGAAAAATTAAACGGGTTTTACTGAGACACCGATTTCGGCCAATTCAAGTAGAATCGTTCGGGAAAAGCCCTTGGAAGGGGTAATTCACTACGCTGAGTTGCGTAGCATTAATGTATTTTTGATCGAAAAATAAACGATGCTACGCAACTCAGCG